TAGCCCAGGCTGGCCTCGAACTCACAGAGATCCACCTGGCTCTGCCTCCCGAGTGCTGGGATTAAAGGTGTGCGCCGCCGCCGCCCGGCAGCCCTCCATTTTCTATAAGAGACTTGAACATCTATGAATTTGGGTTGGTATCTGTGGGGAGTGCTGGGGCCATTCTTCCTCAGATATTGAAGGTCACCTACGAGGGTCACCTACATCAATAAAGACAGTTTTCCAAGTGTGAAAGAACCTAAAACTGGGTCTGGTGGTGAATATCTGGAATCCCATCTATTTCTGGAGGCTGAAACAGGAGAACTGAATGTTCAAGGCCTGTTGGCAGTTTAAGAATCGGCTTGAAAAGTAAAAAACAAAGCAAAACAAGTCTGGGAATATAATATAGCTCAGTGGTAGAGCACTGGCTGGGCCTCTGTGAGAAATTGGGGTCAATTCCCTGTACCACCAAGAAGGAAGTTGTCTTAGTCATGGTTCTGTTGCTGTGAAGAGGGACTGTGACCAAGGCAACTCTTGTTTTAAAAAGCATTTAAATTGGTCATGGTGACACATGCCTTTAATCCCAGCACTGGGGAGGCAGAGCCAGGCAGATCTCTGTGAGTTCGAGGCCAGCCTGGTCTACAGAGTGAGTTCTAGGACAGCCAAGGATACACAAAGAAACTTTGTCTCAAAAAACAAGACAAAGGGGCTGGAGAGATGGCTCAGAGGTTAAGAGCAACGACTGCTCTTCCAGAGGTCCTGAGTTCAATTCCCAGCAACCACATGGTGGCTGGCTCACTACCATCTGCAATGCGATCTGGCACCCTCTTCTGTATACATAATAAGTAAATAAATCTTTAAAAAAAAAAAAAACACAAAAAACAAGACAAAACGAAAGGCATGTAATTAGGGGCCTGCTTACAGTTATTAGTTCATTATCGTAGTGGCTGGTCCATGGCAGCAGTCATGGCTATGGAGCCGTAGCTGAGAACTACATCCTGATGTGTAGACAGAGAGAAGGGAGGAAGGGAGACAGACAGACAGACATTGGACCTGGAGTGAGCTTTTGAAACCTCAAAGCCCACACCCAGTGACACACTTCCTCCAACAAGGCCTAATCCTAATCTTTTTGAACAGTTCTACTCCCTGAAGATTAACCATTCAAATCTATGAGCCTATGGGGGCCATTCTTATTCAAACCACCACAGAAATGTAAGGGAAAAAATGCCATTTTCAAACTGGCAAAGGGAAATAAAAAATTAGAAACTCAGTTTGACTTGAATGGTGAGAGCAGGCTTTTCTGGGTCTGAGAGTGGTGTCGTGAGATCCAGCAGCACATGCAGGAAGGAGAACGGCCGTGTCCTTACAGTTGAGAGTAGGAGGGGGGAGGATGGCTTCTCCAGACTCAAACTGTTTTTCAGGAGAAACTGGATTTTGAAACAGCAGGGTGGGAGATAAATCGAATCACCTGTTTCTGCAGCCTTTGGGCTCCTGGGTGTGGTGGGGGTGAGCTGCTTTCAGGGAATCAGTGGATGGCAGGTTTCCTGAAACCTTGGCTTTGTTTTAGGGTCCTGGTTCTGAGGGGATTTTCCTTTAGGAGGGAAGAAAGAGAAAGATCTCACTTCTTTTCGTTTGTGAGGTATTAGAATAATGTATTGTTTGTTTTCTTTTGAAACAGAATGTCTCGGGCTGTTCATTTCCCAATCCCTTGTCCGGTGCAGCTTGGTACATTAACAGATGATTCCTTGGAAGCTCAGCTTCATGAATATGCCAAACAAGGGAATTATGTGAAAGTGAAGAAAATTCTTAAGAAAGGTAAGTAGAGTGTTAAGATGGCAGAGGCACCATGACCCATGTTTCTGAATAGTGTTTGGTGTAAAAAAACAACAGTACTAAGGCTGGGTTTGGTGGCCTGCACCTTTAAACTGGCATTCAGGAGGCAGAGACAGATCTGAGTTCAAGGCCAATCTACACAATGAAATCCTGTCTGATGGCAAAACCAAACTAGTGCCAACAGAGTTCTCTCTAAACAAGTCAACAAAGAGGTTGGAGAAACAGCTCAGCAGGACCAGTGTTTGCTGAGCATATGTGAAGACCGAGGTTCCAGCCTCCGAACCACACAGAAAACCAGGTAAGTGGCACCCGCCTGTGATCCCAGCACGGAGGAGCCAGGAGTTCAAGTATGTATCCAATTGTGCTGGTAATTACCATGTGGCCAGAGAGGATTGTGTCGCTTTGCCCCTTTTCTCTTTTAGGATAGAGGAAATCTGGCATCTCAAACCGCTGTGTGTGTGAGTGTGTGTGTGTGTGTGTGTGTGTGTGTGTGTGTGTGTGTGTGTGTGTGTGTGTGTGTGTGTTTTAAATCTTTTTAGACAGATTTCATGTGGCTGCGGCTGGCCTCAAATTCCCAAGACTGACCTCACACTCTTGATCCTGTTACCTTCACCTTCCAAGTGCTAGGATTACATAGGTGAGCCACCAGGCCCTTCAGCCACAGAATGTACTAGAAAGAGGGTGCGGCCAGTGAATGGCCATTTTCCCTACGTACATTTTCGTTTTTTTCTCACGAAAGGCCTCTGGCTTGGGCCAGGAGTCCAACCTGCGTGCCCCGCCGACACGGTGCGGCCGGCTCCGCGGCGCCTCTTGTGGGGCAGGTGGGGGCTGAAGGCCGTCGGCTCGGAGGCCAGCGCCGCAGGGCGGAAGCCGGCGCGGCGGCGGGCGGCAGGGCCGTGTGTGGCCGTCAGCGACTCGCGACCCGACGCAGGCGGGAGTGGGGCGGGGCGGCAGACCCGTCAGCCGATTGGCTGTTTAGCGATCGTATGCTAATTAGGTGGCAGTGGGTTTGTGGGTTTTTGTTTTTCGTGTTTGTTTTCCCCTGGACTTGGAAAAGTGTCGCGGCTCAGATGCCCCGTGGACCTGGTAGCGGAGGCGTTCACCGGGGAACACGGCAGCGCCTGTGCCAAAGCCGTGTGCGGTGGCCGCGCCAGCGGTCCGCCGGCCTCACCGTCAGTTAGATGTGAGCGCGGCGGGTAGAGTGCGTGGATCGCGGAGGAGCGAGGTTAAGACTATACTTTCAGGGATCATTTCTATAGTTCGTAACTAGAGAAGTTTCTCTGACTGTGTAGAGCACCCGAGACCACGAGGACGAGACGTAGTGTTCCCTCCTGAGCGTGAAGCCGGCTCTAGGTGCTGCTTCTGTGCAGCCGCCTCCTGCCATTGATGATCGTTCTTCTCTCCTTTGGGGGAGTGAGAGGGAGGGAGCGCAGTCTGAGTGGACCTCGGCTTCATGAGCGCCGGTACTAAAATCAGAAAGTTTGGGTAGTTTTCTAGAGGACCATTAATATTTCTTTGCGATTGCCCCACTCCCTGTTTTGTTCTCCTTTAAGTTGTTTAATACCTGTGAGTTACTTTTTTTTTTATTTGTGTAAGTCTTGCTTTAGTATCACTTCATGTCTAGAAACTACGATTACTCCAACACAGGCAGTTGGACTCAGAAGTTTGAGGACACCCTGGTCTACAGAGTGAGTTCCAGGACAGCCAGGGTTACACAGAGAAACCCTGTCTCAAAAGTAAATTAGAGAGCTGTTAGCTTTTCACTCATCCATTGACAATTGTATAATTTATTAAGGTCTGTATTAACAATGTTCTAGGGGATGGGGATTTAACTCAGCCCTGGGTTCGAACCTCAGCTCCAGAAAAAGAAAAAAAAATGTTCTAGAAAGTAGATTAATAGTTCCAAGTCTCTTAACAACTTTAGTGAGAATTACATGCAAAATGTTTTGATACCGTATTCGAGAATTCAAAGGGGGCTTGACTTCC